CTCGGATATACGTCGAATCCAATCCGGACCTTTTGAGGACCTCAAACATTTTCTTTAACGGGACACTATCATATGCTTTCTCAAGGTCTATAAATACCAAATGGGTCTCTCTACTTCTTTCGACACGCTTTTCAATTATTTGTCGTAGGATAAATATATTATCAAGGCAGGATCTCCCGGTACGAAAGCCGCTTTGTTCTTCAATATCTTGTATCTGTCTTTCAACCCTCTTCTTTAATATTCTGCCGTACAACCGGCCCACAGAGCTCGTCACACTATTACCTCTATAATTGGAACAGTCTCTTTTATTCCCTCTCTTATATATGGAGCTTATATAAGATTTATTCCAATCTTTAGGAATTTCCTGGTCTCCACACATACATTTATTGAAAAGGTCTACTATTAATTCTAAAAGTGCAGTCGGCCCATATTTAACCAGCTCTATGGGAATGTCTCCAGGCCCTGCGGCTTTTCCGTTTTTAACCTCTTTTAAGGTTTCCGTCAATTCAGATAATGTTATTATAGTGATTTCCTGTCTTTCGTCTCTGTTGTCTATTAATTCCCTTATCTTTTCCCATCTGTACTCTACTCTATCCTCTTTCAGCAGTTTCGTATAATATTCTTCCCATTCATTTAACTTTATGAGAGAAATGTTGTCTTCATTTTTCTCATTTTTCCTAAACTGTTTTAATGTTTTCCAAGCTTGCGCCACTTTTGTTCCACCCATAAATCTGTCCAGTTCATCACACTTAGCCTCCCAGTTTATATTTTTCGCCTTATCCACGTCTTTTTTAACTTCTCTTTTCCATTTAGCATATATTTCTCTGTCTTGAGGATCTTTGGATTGAAGCCATATGTGATATGCTTGTTTTTTCTTGAGAACTTTCTCTTCTAGTTCCGTTGACAACCATTCAGGTTTTCCTTTTTTCCGATTTTCAACTTTTCCCAGTGCCTCATTTGCCGCTTCATGAATATATTTTTTAATTACCTCATCCAGACTTTCGGGGTCTAAGTCCTTTGTTTCTATATTTTTTATTTTCTGAGCTATTCTAATTTTATATAAGAACTTTGTCGAATCTTGTTTAAAGCTTTCCAGGTTATATTTTATGTTTTCTATGGTTGTTCCTATGTCTGTTACTTCATCATTTTTGTGACTTGATTGTTCTCTCTTAAATGTCACCATTACTTTTGCAATAATCATATGGTGGTCACCGTGTCATATACCTTTTTCAAATCTATGAATGCCATGTGTACTGGTCTATTTTTTGCCAATTTTTTTTTAATTAATTATTGGAGTGTATATATGTGGTCTATGCAAGATCTTCCTACCGTGAACCCCGCCTAATCTGCGATTTTATTTGAGATAGATTTTTCCAGTTTTTCTTTCAGTATTTTTCCATATAACCTGTCCATACATGCTATTACACTGATGTCTCTGTAGTTCTCGCATTTCTTCTTATCTCCCTTTTTATGTATCGGGGTTATATATGCTTTGGACCATTCATCTGGTATTTCGTTCAGGTTTATAGCGTTACTGAACATTTCGTGTATAATTCTGTGTAGTTTGTCCGTTCCGTACTTAATTAGTTCATTAACGATTCCTCCTGGTCCCCCTGATTTTTTGTTATTTAAAGTCTTTATGGCATTCTTTACTTCGATTAATGTTATCTCAATCTGTTTTTCATTCTGACTTTGTTGTTGTTCATGTTCCTTGTCTGTCTCTATGAAATCTTGGCGGTTTTCTGTGAGTAGTTCTTTATAGTAGTCTTCCCACTCTTTTTCTGATATGTATTGTATTTGGACCTTTTCGTTATTTTTCCTTAAAGATTTCAGTATTTTCCAGGATTCCGAATTTCTTGTTCCTCCTATGTTTTGTTCAATTTGTGCACATGTTTCTTCCCATTCTTCATTCTTTTCTTTTGCCCTTCTTCGTTTTACTTCTCTGTTTTTCTCTTTGTACTTCTGTATGTCTTCTGGGGATTGGGTGCTCATACTTTTCATATATAGAATTTTCTTCTCCTCAATACATTTTTTTGTTTCTTTGTTTATTTTTACTTTGTGTTGGGTATCTCTTTTCTCATGTTTCCCCAAAGCTTCTAATGCCGCCTTTTTTATGCTGTGTTTGACGTGCTCGTACGTTTCTTTGACGTTTCTGAAACCGAAATCCTGTAACTTCTGGTCCAGTCTTATCTGGTATAGGTCCCTTATGGATTCCTCTTGAAGTAAATTTACGTTGAACTTCATTTCTTCTTCTTTCTGTTCATTTTCTACTTGGTCTTCTTCGTGTTCTTTCAGTTTGGGTGTTCAACGTGTAGGGAAACCCCATTTGTGAAATTATTAATCGGTGGTCAGTGCCACATTCGGCTCCTCTCTTTACTCTGGTATCTCTAATATTGATAGTACTACTTTTGCTGACAATTATGTAATCGATAATGGATCTGATGTTTCTCGTTGTTTGTACATACGTGTATTTATGTATGTCCTTATCTCTGAAAAAGCCGTTAGTAATTTTGAGATTGTTTAGTTCGCACAGGTCAATTAGTGTTTCTCCATTATCGTTTGTCATATCTCCAAAACGGCCTATCGTGCTATCATTTTGTCGTTTCCCTGTTCTTCCATTTAGGTCCCCTGCTATTATTATTTCTTGTGTTGGTCTCACTTTTCCGATCTCTTCTTGTAAGGTAACCATGAACTAATCCTTTTCTGCTACCAGACTGTTATCCGTAGGGCCGTATACTCCCAGTATCACGATTTGCCTGCCATAGATTTTCATGATGAGTTTTACTATTTGTTCATTTATGGGTTCCCATGTTTTTATTGTTTTTACCCATTTTTTCTTGACCAGTATCCCCACTCCGGCAGCTGCTCTTTCTTCCTTCTTTTTCCCGCTCCAACAGTAGAAGATGTCATCTACCAATTGTGTATTACCAAAATATCAAGGTTCATCTTCTTAAATTCCTCTATCACCTCTTTGTCCTTAGGTCGCCATCCTTGGATGTTCCAGGTGCTACACGTGATTTCCCTCTTTCTCTGTTTCTCTTTTCGACGTTGGCTGAAATTTAAGACTGGGCTTCTCTTACCAAAAGCAGAATTGCCCCCCCCCCCGTATCCGATGGGGCTCCATCCGTTGGAGGTGTGGATTACCATCCGGGGAACTATGTTTTTATTTTTCATCCTGCTTCTTGTACTTTCGCCCTTTGTTGTTTTTGCATGTGCCAGGATGCTAAAGCCTGACGCCAAAACCCCCACTTTGGAGGACCTGTAGTTTCAGCCGCCCACTCTTGATCAGACGCTGCTTGATTCTATACAAACCCTAAAATCCGGGGTGGCCACTTTCGCCATCCTCGTCGTACCGAAGGTCTCCCTCTCCGCCGTGACTGACGTTGTGGTCTTCATCCGTAACCCTGGACAAGGGACCCTAAGCGGGTACTAGTTTCCCGGGTCAGGAAACACCTGGAATCTGTAGGAGTCAGTGAATGATTCATTTTTCCCTGGTAGGACTATCCAAGGAGTTCCTACCCACTACCCACCGATGTGATTAATTCTGGTATATTTATTGGTTTTGCCTATCTATTCGGGTTGTGTTAATAGTAGCCTGTAATTAAGAAACGAAGAAATTCGTAAAACTGATGCATATGATACTGTAGAATACGTAGCAAAACTAACATGATGATAAGCAGGACATATCGCTAGCATGAACTACAATAGAGCGAGAAGAAAAAAAATATAATAGAGATCACGATCAAATAAATGAAATTCAGTAAGACCTCTAACAAGATGAATTGACAATATTAAGATCATCTTAATTGGATTGCTCCAGCGCATAATAGATCGGAATGGAAGTTTCTTGAGCAGGCGTATATTTAAGAATGGATGGCTTTGGGTTGATAATGATGATGCTAGATATTAATATTTAATATATATTAGATATTAATATATTAAAATAGGTACGCAACCACAAATACTACTGCCACTTGTTATAGAAAACGATGTCATCGAAGCAGTTAACGAATTTGTATATCTGGGAACGCTCGTCAATACTGAAAATGACACGACCGCAGAGATAAACCGCAGAATTTGCACGGCTAATAGATGCTATTTTGGGCTTAATCTGCTTTTTAAATCTACAGTTATATCAAGAAATACAAAAGTAAAACTCTACAAAACAATAATACGCCCAGTCCTAACATATGGTTCAGAAACCTGGATTTAACAAAAAGCAATGAAAACATGTTACGATTTTTCGAAAGAAAAATACTAAGGCGAATCTATGAGTGGTAAATGAAAATGGTATCTGGAGAAGACGATACAACTTCGAACTCTATAGAATATACCTATATTAAGAAACCAGATATCGTAAAACACATTAAGAAAAGACGTCTGAGGTGGGTAGGCCATGTAATGGGGATGGAGCAAACCGACCCAGCTAGAATAACGCTCCTTGATAGACCTATTGGTCAAAGAAGAAGAGTAAGACCCAGAACAAGATTTGTAGATAACATAGATCAAGATATGAGAAATATGGAAATATGTGCTTGGCGGAGGAAGGCGATGGATAAGGACGACTAGAAAAAAATTCTTAGGGAGGCTAGGACTCACACAGGGTTGTAAAGCCAAAATATTGATGAGATATTAATATTATTATTGGTTAAGTATAAGTGGTGTGTTTCTGAAAATAAAGTTATATTTTCAAAAACTCGATCAAAAAAATTATTGATTTTTATTACTGGACATAAATGTTATTAGTCTTCTTATAATATGAGATTATTCCGTATATAAACTACGCGACCTTTCTTTCTCTCTTTTAAACTCGTCGTCTTCTTACTTATTTATGGAGTTCAAAGATGAATAGTAATACTTTCCTCTTTTAGATATTTACCTTCTGCGTCATTAACCATGTTTTTGTTTGCAACGGTGACATATCTAACGACAAAAGTACTATCCCTACTTTAAATATTCTTCTATAACCCGTCCATGTATCGGTCATTAAGAGGCTGCCTTGGTATACAAATTGATCAATTTATATTTTTCAAATTGAAATCAGTAAATATAATCTAAATCAATGTTTAACCTTTAAGGGGCCCTAACGGTGTTTGGACGTTAGAAAAGCAGGGAAAAAAACCAAGTATCAATATTTCGTTTAATGAAGCAATTCCCACCAAAACCCACATGGCCATTAAGCATTTGTTGGACAATAATATTATTCATTACGTAATAAGTCAAAATATAGATGGACTTCATTTAAGGAGTGGTGTTTCCAGAAAAGATATTGCTGAATTACATGGAAATATGTTCATTGGTCAGTGTAACATTTGTGAAAGGTAAGGATGGTTGATTTTGAAAATTATTTTAAAATTGATATTTTTTGTATGCTTTCAAACTTACATTCGTTTACTTTTCTACATTTTTGTTATTTTAATTAATCACATGAACTACTTAGGTGTATGTTTCTGTGTGCGTGTACCTGTGCTCATATGTGGGATTGTGTGTGTTCGTGCGTAGGCGCGCGAACATGTGTGTGTGTGTGTATGTTTGTGGTGAGTATACAATTCGACATTATATGTTTATATTATTGTTAGAATGACTTCTTAGATTAATTGTCGCATAAGGATTTTGTTCTGAAGCTATTTTCTTGTGAAAGCTTAATACAATTTACTATTTTTATGTGATAAAGCTACAATTTTACTTTAAAATAAGTTTATTTTGACGTTTAGATTTCCACTTCCGAAATCGTTCTCAAAATACATTCATTAGTAAATTAAACAAATTTTGTTTATGTTACTATGATTTTCTAATAATTAAATTGTTTCCATATTTTTGAGTTGTGTTCTTGGAACGACTTTGGAAGATTGGAATTGGAATGGAAGATAGTTCATTCGATTACATGAAATTATAACATAGAAAAATAGAAAAGTTGGAAAGAAAAATTATAACATATGATTTGTGATAAAAAGATAACCATATGCAATGATAACAGTAAAATTCCCATGTAATCAGCCCGAGAAACAATATGGATAAGCTATTTATTTTTATACAAGGACTTTTGGATAATATTTTGATTTATTGGTTGCAATAAAGGTGTGCAGTTTTGTGGTACAAAGATTGTTTGGATATTTCCCTCACTTGATCTAATTTCTTGTTCATTCTGGTGGCCTGGAGCATTGTGATGTATGAGTAAAGCTTTTATGGGCCAGTTGGATCTTTTCATAAACTTCATCACTTCTCAGACAAAATCTTACTATCAGATAGTATATCCATCGAGCAAAAAGATAAAAGAGGGAATATAAAGGTAGTGGGGGCAAAAATATTGTTAGACAGGAAGTGCGATTTTTAGAGGCCACATTAAACAAGGAAAGAGAGTCTCTCTCCTTGTTTGACATCAAATTTAGTTGGGTTATGTTATTGTTTGTCCCAAATATCACATGAAATCTTATTTATATTGAAGTTTTTTAGCAATTGTGTCGTATAGACTATTATCGTTAATAATTAATTAAAACTTTCTCGTCTAAGACACATTCTGAAAAATATTATATAGCTACTGTTAATAAGTGTCGGAAAATTTAAATTTGGCGCATTCGCATTTCCGGATACGTCCGCCATCAGAGGTCACTTTTTTGGTCTCCTTTTCATAAGGATTAGATTCCCTCTTTTGTCTTTTTGCTCGATGAGTATATCAGAAGGTAAAAATCAACTATTACCTCCGATTTCGATGAACCTTCATCGATTTGCATGAAAATTTGGGATTGAGTATATTTTACCCTCAACTTCAAAAGTGACATCTGCCCAACTTGCGATTTTTGCATTTTAGGGGTGAAATCCTCCCCTTTTGTTAAAAATGGTAAAATATGCAGATTTAAGCATTCTGGCATAAGTAATCTCGATTAATTCAATAAAGTAAATATTCTGCAACATTTATAAGCATGGTTTATGATTTTAATTAATTTTTCAACTCTTTTAGCAACTATCCCTTAAATCGAAAATCATGAAAAAATCATTTTATATTTCTGAAATATCAAATCGCACATTAATATTACCAAAATAGTTTCTTTAATGTTTACGATATAATTTTTGATTGACTGTGAAATTTCAACCCTTAAAAACCACCCCCTTAAAGCAGAATCATTGAAAAAATTAATTTGAAGAAACTTTAATTATTTGATTAATACGTTACCGAATTGAAATCTTATTTACTGAGTATTAAAGTATTTATTTATTCATTGCATAATTTTGCACCCTTAAAAACTACCTCTTGTCATAATAATAATGGGAAATGTTTTTTATTAGCTTTAATAGCTTTAATAATTTAGAAATATTTTTATTGGTTATGATTAACTTTATTACTATACTCTAAACTTTATTAATATTATTCTTTCTACATTTCCTGAACAATTTTTTCAGTGTCTTATATGACTTATAAAGATTTAATTTGTTAGGTAAGAGGAAAAAGTATTAAAATAAATATTAAAATATATGAAAATTTCATTCATTTTTTATTTAAGTAGTGTTTCATAAATTAATCAAATATTAATAGTACTGTAATTGTTAATTTTTTACTCTTCATCAGAGCTCTCTTCACCAATTTATCCTTTTTCATTAATTGAAGCTATTTTTTCAATTGTCCCCATTGCATGATCCACAGACTGCATTGCAAAATAACCTTACTCTTATAGGCCTATCGGCTCGTCTACTTTTTATTACCTATCTTTTTTCCTATATATACATACAAAATCTCTACTCCAAAAATGTTTCTAAAAAAATGTTATTGATTTTTTTACAATAACTCCGTTAATTTTTATGATATCAAGTTAATTCAAAAACCATTTGAAAGGTAATTTCAAGGGCTATAAGATTGTATTAAATTAAATTTTTTAAATCACTTATTTTTTAAAAGATAAAAGGTTAAATGACCCCGGTTACATGGTTCTCGCAGTAAAATTTATGTTTTAAACGTTTTTATCTCAGTTAGTTTTTATTATACAAAAATATAAAAAACAGGAAAATCGTTGTTAAAAAAACCTCAAATTTTGATCTCTATCATTTTTTATGTATATTGAGTATATATGTAGTTATTCTCAAAAGAAAATGAAATTTAGGAGATTTGAAAAATTCTGATTTTTTTTAATCAATTTTTTTTTAAATATGAATTTTAAACCGGTCAAAATTTTTTGAGGTCATTACTTATGCTAACATAAAGAAAGTTTTATTCGCTCCGTGCGTGACTGACGCGACACCTACCGCCTTCTTCTGACAATTTTGGAGTCCCAATTTTCAGCTTAAACATATGACATATGTTTGACGTTATAAAATACATGACGAAATTGACAATTATTAATAAATTAGTTTTTTAACTATATTTTTTCAGTTTATGTACAAAATAAATGTAGTATTAAAAACTGGGTTTCTCAAAATTCATCATAATATATCTTTTCAACTCCAAATGTAAAAGAAAGGGAAAAATCTAGTACTGGCAAATCAAGTTTTTCACGCAAAAGAGCATATAATTAAAAACAATAATAGTAAAAGTTATGATATAAAAGCTAAAGTCATCTGTAGTTAGCTTGAAGCCTTATGAAATATCATTCAAGGTAAATTATTTAAATTTATTAATTAAAAAGTAGTTAATTTAAATTGCTTAAAATGAAATTATGTGATATTTACTTTTTCATATTAATAGCAGGAATTTATCTTTTTCTTTTCTCTAATTTATATGTAATCTTTGGGAACCTATAAAAACTACACTCACTGTTTTTACTATTATTAGCACAATTAAATACGCAACATGTATTTGCACACATCTTTGATAAAACTTATGCCTAAAAATATTTTGTCCAATATTCCAATTTTGTCATATTTCGCCGCTACGCACGCTGGCATCGTTTCAATATATATTCATCATATATATGTGTATATTATTGTAATTGTATTTGTATATTTATCGTACTGTGAAAGTCCATACGCTAAATAAAATAAAAATCGTTTCAATGTACCCCTACCATGGTCACGCACGGAGCGAATAGGGATAACTATAAATTTTAATTTTTGTGGAAATGGCGTATGTTTTATTTTTCACTTTTTCCAAAAAAAAATCGAGAGGGTCCTCCTATTTTCATCATAACTTGCTTAATTTTGATGCTATGAACTTCTTTTAGAGCTCATTTTATAGGTATTTCTGAGTACTGGTATCAATAAGTCTGAAGGTCTGAATTGTTCAATAAGTATATTTTATAAAATGCATTGTTTTCCCTTATTTAAGCTTGAATATTCAGATTTGAGTACTCACGAAAAAAAAAACATTTAATTACCTATAAATAACATTGAATTAATATTAAAAGGTTTTTCAAGCAATGAATTTATTCAATATTTTTAGCTTCAATTTTGGTAATGACAACTTTTTTTATAAAAATTTATAGTTTTTAAGTTATTTATGAAAAACCGCTTTAAAACATGCATTTTTTTTCACTAAAAATCAAAATCTTTGATCTTTAATAACTCAAAAAGTATTGATTTATTTTAATAACTTTATAAGATAATTTTTTTTAGGTTTGATCCCTCTATCGATTCCTGGGATTATTTTTAATAAAATAATTTCCACCAGTGAGAAGGGGTGGCATCCACCCCCGGGGTAAAAGCGCAAGTTGACACCATGTCACTTTTGTTTCTTAAGGTATCCTCTAACTACTCACCAATTTTCATGAAAATCGGTGGAGGTTCAACGAAATCGGAGTGAAAACCTTCAATGACTGTACTATATGGAACGATTGACTAAATACCTCACTCGTGACTCAAGTATTAAATTAGTTCTTATATTCAGACTGGCAAATAAATGTTTTTGAAACTCTGCCTTTATTGGCTTTACCTATCGCTAACAAATCCAATTTGTCTGTTCCAGTAGCATGTAAACAGGGCATAAATGTGATTCTATCTTTACTCACATTACGATCTGGTGCACTCGCTTCTTGAGAAAATGCAAATGTTTGGTTGCGCAACAGTCTCCAAAACTGACCACTCTTAGAGAAATATATTTTTTAAATTAAAGTTAATTAATCGCATTTGATTTATAAATACATATAAATAATAAATATTTATACGCCAAAAATGCAGGCTTAAGCAATAAAAAAATGTAAAATATCAATTATAATAATAATTAAGAATAAAACACTGAAAAGTTTTGTTTTCTAGTTTCATAAAATTTATTAAAATTGATTATCACTACAGTAGTAGTGCCTTTATAGTCGTAAACTGAATAAGTTAAGGTGAGAGCTGTTTGTCTCGAGTTGGTCATTCAGAATTATATCTGCATATTTTAATTTATTAATTTCCA